GATGGATGTGTGGATGGATGCATGGATGGATGGATAAATAGATGGATATGTAGAAGGGAGGCAGGTGAATCCAAACTGGATGGTTGGATTGATGGCTAAAAAGTGGATAGGTAGGCAGATGAGTGGATGGATAGATGGGTGCCTGGGTGGACGGGCTGGGTGGTTGGATGGGTGGATTAAGACAAATGATGGTGGATGTGTGGGACAACAACTCCGTGCTGGCTGGATAGACAGCAAGATGATTAACAGACATGGGCAGAGGGATGTCCTGGACATGTCTCCTCCATTCTCTCCTGAGCATTTTTGTCTCCCTGATCTCCCTAGGGCCTCTCGGGCCAGCTGCAGCTGCTAAAGCAGCGGCCAAAGCAGCTAAATATGGTGAGTGCTTTGCCCAGCCTGACCTGGCCTCTCACTACTTACTAGGGAAGGGGAATGACTTACCCGGGGTCACAGAGCATCTCCCTGGGAGCTGGGACTTGGACCTGCTAGGTCTGGGGTGGTGTCTCTGCCGGTTTTAGCCACCATGAAACGAAGGGGTTGAGTGGTGGGACAGCCCCAGCATGGTGTCCCAGTGGGGACGGTGGCCCTGCCTCCGCTCGCTCTGGCTCCTCTCAGGCACCCATGCCCAGCCGGGAAGAAGCCCATGCTCAGTCTCCCAACCCCTCCCCGAGCACCCAGAGAACAGAGGGCGGGGAGAGTGAGGTCGTGGAGGAGGCTGACCCGGGACCCAGGCACCCCTTTCCTGCCCTCATCAACCAGACCTAGGGGACACACGCATCCTCTTTCCCCGCAGCCGTCTCTGGCTTTCCTAGAGCCCTTCTGACCCCTCTCACCGAGGCCCCTTCCCCCCATTCTCTCCTTCTTCAGGGGCCCGGGCCGGAGTGGGAGTCGGGGGCATCCCCACCTTCGGGGTCGGGGTTGGGGCCGGAGGCTTTCCTGGCTTCGGAGTCGGACCCGGAGTCGGGGTCGGACCTGGAGTCGGAGTTGGAGTCGGAGGTGTCCCCACAGCTGGCCTTTCTCGTAAGTCTGAGTCTCACCTGAGAAACCACAGAAGTGCACGGGACTGTCCCTCCTCTTAGGGCAGCGGGCATGGGCTTCTGGGTGCTCAGGGAGGAGGAGGGACAGGAGCTGCGGTCCCACCCGGCCTCACTCAGGGAAGTATCAGAGCGCCTCATGCCCTCTCCTCTCCTCTTAGCTGCAGCCCAGGCCGCTGCCGCCGCCAAAGCTGCCAAGTATGGTAAGTGGCCCCGCCCTGCTGTCCCCAAGCCCTGCTGTCCCACAGGCCCACTCTTCAAGTTCAGGGCGGCTGAGGGGAACAGCCACCTGCCACCTCCCACTCGGGTGTCCAGGGCTGGGACAGCCTGGCCAAGCTGGCCACCTCGCCCCGAAAGGGCGTGCTCAGGTGCTGGACGGCACGCTGTCCACCCCAACTCCTCGCTCCTCCGGGTGCAGCAGGAGCTGGAGCCCTGGGAGGACTGGTGCCGGGTGCAGTGCCAGGCGTGCCAGGAGCAGTACCAGGTGCAGTACCAGGTGCAGTACCAGGAGCAGTACCAGGTGTAATACCAGGAGCAGTACCAGGTGTGCCCGTCACCGGAGCGGTACCAGGTGAGCAGGGGCCCCAACACGCACATAGGTTGGTCTCCAGAAGGAACCCGGGGTCAGGTGGGAGTCAACCAGGTCCCAAGGAGGGAAATGGGCCACGGTTTCCCGCAGGGTGGTCCTGAGGGAAGAACCCTGGTGGTAGGGTCGTGTCCCTCGCTGGGATGTCATCCTGCCTCTTGGCAGAGACCCTGCTGCCTGGGATTGGGTGGTCTCACGTCCCCCTGGGGTCTGTCTGGTTCCTTAGCAGTACAGGACCTAAAATCTTTGGGTTCCCTTGGGCTTTTTCTCCTCCACCAGTCAGAGGGCAAAGGGAAGTGATTAAGTGACCGTGACATTCGATGACACCCTTCCTTGGTTGTTTTTCCCATCAGCAGGTTTCTTGTCTGCATTCTTTATTCTTTCCAGGAGAAAATTCCTCTTCTCAGTTTTCTTAAGAAACAAGCCAGTGGTAGAGCACGTGCCTGGCATGTGTGAGGCCCTGGGTTCATCCCCAGTGCAGGAAAGAACGGAGGGGGAGAGGAAGGGAGAGAGGGAGAGAGAAGCTCATTTCCCTCTATAATTTGGATACAGGCATTATCAGGATGTCTTAGCATTTGCAGCACCCTAAGGAGAAAGTTCTACTTTAGGCTTTGGGGGATGATCGTGACACCCCTACCAGTCACTGCTGTGGGCTCCCTCTGCTCTCACCCAGGACTTGACCCCCGAGGGCTCAGAGCTGCCCCTCAGGCCTCATGGGAGCCCCGGTGGGGCAGGGACACGGCCAGGCACCCTCCCAGGCCAAGGGACAGAGGCAAATGTGCAGAGGGGGACTTCCGCAGGGGATGCCAGGAAGGATGGACGACCTTGGGGAGGGGTGCTGGGGTCGATCTCATATTTCTCCCTTCATCCAGGAGCAGATGCCGCAGCAGCTGCGGCCGCCAAAGCCGCCGCCAAAGCAGCCCAGTTCGGTAAGCTCCCCCACCTCTGTGCCCACCCCTGATTAGGGAAGCAGTTTGAGAAGGTGCCCGGTAACCCCCAGGACCTGCCTCCTGCACTCTGAGACTGTGACCTCTGGGCCAGCTGCAGCGGGGCACCCTAAGTCCCCGTCCTCCCCCTACCCCCCTTATGACCGCCGTCCCTCTTACTCCCTCTGAGGTCCATCCTGTCAGCCCTGGGCACCCACAATTCCCTGCATATGGAGCCCCGCTGTAGGACAGACCCAGGGGTGGGGTGGGAGGGTGATGTCTGTGAGCCTGACCTTGGGCACTTGCAGAAAGCGAGACTGAGACAGAATTTTTAGGGCTGGTTAGGCCAGAGAATGTTTCAGCTTCAGGTTCACTTGCACCTCCAAACACTTGTGCAGCTTTAGGAAGTCGTATCATTGTTCCCACTTTCCAGGTGTGCAAGCTGAGGTTCCCCCAGCTTCAGTAACTTTCCTCTTGTCTCAGATCTAATGGCGGCAGAGCTGAGATTTGAACTCAGGTCTTGCAGAGTTCCCTTTATTTTATTTCTTTTAACTTTTTTTTTCATTACTGGGAACTGAACCCAGCAAGAGCCTTTACCTTGAGTTATATCCCCAGCCCTTTTTAAATTTGTTTTGGTTGTTTTTTTTAATTTAGAATCTCACTAAGTGGCTAAGTTGCCCAGGCTGGGCTTGAACTTGAAATCGTCCTGCCTCAGGTTCCCAGAGTGCTAGGATTATAGGCATGTGCCACCTCATCTGGCTCAGAGCTCCGCTATGTACCATAGTTCCCATCACACTCAAATTCCCCAGGACTTGTTCCTCAAAAGCCCAAGTCCTGCTGACTGGTACACACCTCGTATGGGGCTGAGGAAGTGGAGGCCCATACAGGGAAAGACACTGGCCCTGGGTCACACAGCAAGGTCACACGAGGGCCGGGCCCAGAACCCACAGCTCCTGACTCAGTGCTCTGCGCTCAGCCCTGGCTAAGGATTAGTTGTGCTCACGCTTGCAGGGGTAGGCCCCGGCATCGGTGGGGTTCCAGGCGGTGTCGGCGTTGGTCCTGGTGGCCTCCTGCCTGGTGGCCTCCTGCCTGGTGGTATCGGACCTGGCGGTATTGCAGGTGAGTGACCTATGTGAATAGACTTTGGGGGGCCCTGAGACCTCCACGCCTACCGTCGCTGAGCCCCTTCTCTCCCTCCAGGAGCAGGGGTCCCAGCTGCAGCCAAGTCCGCTGCTAAAGCAGCTGCCAAAGCCCAGTACCGTGAGTGCCCAACTGCGTCTGCTCCCCGCCAGCGGGACTGCTTGGTTCCTCAGACCTGGTTGTGCATCCTTAGGCACGACGGGGTCGGGGGGAGGACCTGGGCTCCGGCCCTGGGTCACACAGTAGCCACATGACCTTGGGGCCTCCTTCTCCTCCTGCACCTCGCAAATGTGGGTGTCAACACCACCTAAAGGTCACTGGGAAAAGTAGATGAGTTTGCCCGGAGGGAAGAGCAGGCTATAAGGCAGAGAAGTGGGGTGTACAGCATGGAGCCTCCAATCCTAGTGTGTGGTGGGGCCGGGCTGGGGCAGTGGGAGTCCTTGGAAGCCCATTCCCGGGCAGCACAGGGTCAGCTGGAGTCAGGGGCAGAGCCAGGGAGGAGGCTGCTACTCAACTGAGGGCCTGACTCGGTCCTCAGGGCAGCCACCCCCCAGGGCTGCTCCTTGGCCTGCCGCCACCCCACTGCCCATCTCTCTACAGGGGCCGCTGCTGGGCTGGGCGCTGGTGTCCCTGGCTTTGGAGTTGGTGCCGGAGTTCCTGGTTTCGGGGTTGGTGTCCCTGGTGCTGGAGTTGGTGTTGGTGTCCCTGGATTCGGAGCTGGGGTCGGTAAGGAGCCTCCTAGGGGCTGGTCAGAAGGTGTCCCCCAATCTCAGAGGAAGGAGACCACACCACCCAGCTGCAAAACAGATTCTCCATTAGGTGCCCAGCCTCAGGCAGGCCATACGGGGCCTGGAGAATTCGAGAAGGGATGAATAGAAGGGAGAAGCACAGTTCAGCCCTTAAGCACCCCCAGATCAGAGTGCCAGGGGCACACACAGATCCTGGAGCCCCATGTCTGGCAGTGTGTGCCCCTGGCTGAGCTTTGAGGAAGCAGCTCATGCTGAGGAAGTCAGAGTGGACTCCCTGGAGGAGGCAGCAAAACCCAGGCTTGGAGCTCAGCCACCGACCCCCTTCTCTTTCCCTTCTCCCAGTACCTGGATCCCTGGCCGCAGCTAAAGCAGCTAAATACAGTGAGTGCAACCCCCATGCTGCCTGCTTCGCTGCACCCTCCCACCCCCCACCCTGCCCCAGCCCAGACAGCACAGGGGGATGGGCAGGACAGAGCAACACGATTTCTAGGACTGCTACAGCGCTGCCCCATGCCTGCTAAACGCCGAGGATGCTTCCAACCCCTGTGACAACCAGAAGCACCCGTCACATTTCCAAGCCCCGTTGGGGTCCTGAATTCCACGGGCCCCAGGGCCGCTGTCACTGTAACTTGGCCGAGCAGCCTCTGCATCCTCTCCAGAGCGGAGTAGGATCCGCACTTCCCATCTGGGCGCCTGTCCCCTCCCTGCCTCCCTCTCAGCGTGACTGAGCCTGCCCCGGTCAGCCAGCCTCGACGACGTGGCAGACCTGCCCGCCCCACCAGCCGCTCGGCCCTGGGCAGCCTGGCCTGGCGGTGCCCATGCGTCTGTCCCTGCGATCCTCCTGGGAGCCAGCAGGGGGCCTCAGCCGGGGACCCAGTCGGGTACCATGGCCGGTTTCCATCTTGGAAAATCCCAGCTTCCTCAACCGCGTGCCAGCAGCCCCCACTCAGCCTAGCTCCTCTCCCATCCCCTGCCAGCTGCCCGGGCAGCAGGAGTCAACAGACACTGTCAGGGAAACCAGGCGGTGTCACCATGCAGAGCAGCTAAGGACGTCAGTGGCTCCCAAGCCACTTCCTGTCCTGAGACCTGGAGCACATGCCTTAACCTCTGGCCCGCCTCAACGCTCCAGTCTGCACAGTGTGGGCTGGGGAGGGCTCTCTTTCCTGTGGCAGTGCCTGGAACTGAGTATCCCAGTGAGTGACAGCTGTCAATCAGCCGCTACCATTCTTGGCAGCGCTGCACTGGGCCAGGACTCAAAGCCCGCAGACTCTCAGGCTATGTGTCCCTCTGTTCACAAACGCCCTCAAGGCAAGCAGGGAGGTGGGGACTCGGCTCAGAGAGCTGACAGCTAGGACACAGAGAAACCAAGACTCAAACTGGATTCGAACCAGGGCTGTCGAATCAGCCTGGCCTGAATTCAGCAGCTCCCAGCCTCTGTGTTACCTGGCCCACAGCTCCCAGCACCAGCCGAGGGACACGGAAGTGACCACACCCTGTGGAGAGGGGAGGTCAAGGCCTGAGGGGCACTACTCAGCCCTGGATGTTCAGGGAAGGACTTGCTGTCCAGCGCTCCTCCTACTGGGCCACACCGCCTCTGCCGCCTGCCTGCTTGCCTTGTGTCGCCTCCTCCTGGCATGGAGGACCAATCCTCACTCCTCTGTCCACAGGAGCAGCAGGGGTCGGGGCCCTGGGAGGACCTGGCGTCCTGGGAGGAGTAGGTGTCCCTGGCGGTGTTGTAGGTGAGTTTCAACCCCAGGACAGGCTGTGGGGTGGGGGGGGACTGGGAGCCACAAACAGTCCCTCCCTGTGCTTCCCCTCTGCCCCCAGGAGGCGTGCCCGCTGCCTCGGCCGCCGCTGCCAAAGCTGCCGCCAAAGCTGCCCAGTTCGGTGAGCACCGGCCATGTTCGGGAGGCTCTGCCAGGCCCCTGGGCCCTGTGTCCCTGCAGGAGGCTCTGTCCCTCGGCAGACAGACTCGGGCCGGGGTCCTCAGCCGGCAGATTTAACGCCCAGCTCTCTCCCCAGGCCTGGGGGGCGTCGGTGGGCTTGGAGCTGGAGGACTGGGAGTTGGAGGCCTCGGAGTCGGAGGACTGGGACTTGGCGGACTCGGAGGTAAGGCTGCTCTGAGATCAGAGTACAGTGCGTGACGTGTGTGTGCGTGAAAGAGAGACAGAGGCTTTTTCCCCACACTGGATACTGGCTCAGCCCTTGCGAAAGGAGGAGGAAGGACCTGGCATTGCCTAGGACAGGGCCGGGCGCCGGGCACACCTGGGTTCCTGGGAGACAACCCGAAGCCAGCTCGGCATTTTTTTTCCAGGGTGCATCTCAGGGCTTCTGGGCAGGCGCAGTCAGCTCCTCCAGAGGCCCTTGCTGTGTGCACCTTTGCCCCCGTGGCTCAGGCTGCCCCTGCCCCCCCTGCCTGCACCAGCTGCGTCTGTCCCGGGCTTCCTGGGCTGCACCTCCTCCCCCAGCTCCCTCGGTCCTAAGTGCTGTTTACGCAGGGGCTTGAGCACGTGGAGCCAGCCGTCCCCACGGCAGAGGCCCGTCCCTGTCATCGCCCCTCCCTTTTACCCACTGGCCACAGGGCGTGGGAGGTTGTCACCCAATTTCCACAGAAGGCGATCCAAGCCCAGAGAGACTTTCCCAGTCTCCATCACCGTGGCTCCAAGATGACACCCCAGTCTCCCTGGGGAGCTCATTGGGGCCCCCGACTTGAACTGGCCCTCAAGCCTCTTCTGGCATGCACCTCGAGGCTGGGCACACAGTAGAAGCTTAAGAAAGGTCACAGGAAGGTGGGTGGAAGAGGGGAGGCGGGGGCTGTTCCTGAGCCCTCCTGTGCCCTACCTCTTCAGGTGTGTCTCCAGCTGCTGCTGCTAAAGCAGCCAAATATGGTGAGTGGCCCCTAACACCTGTCCCCGCCCAGGCCCCCTGGTACTTGTATCCCATCCGCACCCTGCCCCACCGAGGTCCTGCCCTTGGTCCTTTTCTCCGGGCTTCCCTGACCCAGAACCAGGGCGGGGGATGTCAGGGCCCCTGCCCCTGGGCCTCTGTGTCCTCACTGGTCCCCGTGCCCTCATGCCAGGTGCTGCTGGCCTTGGCCGGGTTTTAGGGGCCATTCCCAGGGCACTCCCAGGAGGCAGGGCTGGCTTTGCTGCATAGCCCTCAGTCCTGCCGGGGCTGGCAGAGGGGGACCCTGAAGGCCAGGGGAGGACAGGGCATCCTGAGTGAAGACAGGGCCAACGGGTGCAGAGCTGAGGCGTGGGACAGGATGCTGAGTGGGGCAGGTTTAGGGAGAAGCCACCCTGGCTTCGGGGGTGGCACCACTCTGAGAAGCCCGAGCGACAAACCAGAACAGGGCCTGCCTCCCACCCACCACCAACCCCAAATCTGTCCCGCAGGCGTGGCAGCCAGACCTGGCTTCGGATTGTCCCCCATTTACCCAGGTACACCGGCACCCGTCTTGAACTCTGGCTGGGTCCCTCCTCCTCCACGGCTGCATCCCCTGTGATCCCCAGGACCTCAGACCACACAAAGCCACACCCCAAGCCAACCAGAACCCCCTCATTCTGTCTCCCTTCCTCCTAAGGACAGGGGACATCAGTTTTCTCAAACATATCATGTACCCTGAGGTCCCTGGGGACAGAGAGCTTCCCCTTCGGGTCTCACACAGTGTAAAGTGAGGCTCAGAGTGTGGGACCCTATGCTCCGAGTCTAGCCCCTCTCACACCACACACCCCACACAGCCTCCGCGGGGCCCTGGCCGTGTTGTCCTTACGGGGCTCTCGGGCTCCCGGCAGTGACCACACTCATAGCCCCTCTCCTTGTCTTGCAGGTGGTGTTGGGGGCCTGGGAGTCGGTGGTGAGTCAGCCATAAAAAGGCATCTTGTGCCCGGGGTCGGGACCCTTACTCGGGGTGGAGGGAAAGTCTTGCCCAGGGAGCAGCCAGTGTGGCCCTGGCTGGTCCTCTGGTATTCGGGCTAAGCTGAAAGGTCAGCCTCGGGATGCGGGGACAGGAGGCAAGGATCCCGATCCCTGGTGTCCCAGCCCGGCACTTAAGTAGGTTTTGGGGGCAAGACAGGGGCCTGGGGTCTCACTGCAGACACTGACAAGTCTCCACCAAAAGAGAAGGTAACTTGCTAGGAATGGGGGCAAATGCCCGTAGCCAGCATTCTGAGAGGCTGAGACAGGAGGATCGCAAGTTCTGGCCCAGCTTGAGCAACTTAGTGAGATCTTGTCTCAAAATAAAAAATTTTAAAAGGCTGGGGATGTAGCTTAATGTGAAGGCCCCAGGTAACTGCGGTGGGCTGGCACCAAGCCACAGAAAGGCCTCAGGCTTGGCCCCTTGTACGTGGAGAGGAGCAAGGCTGGGCAGGAGAGGTCGGACCGCAGGACCTTGGGAATGTCCTCCGTATCCGCCCTCTCCCCCTCACAGGGAAGCCCCCCAAGCCCTTCGGAGGGGCCCTGGGAGCCCTTGGATATCAAGGTAATAAGCGAGGAGCAAAGGCCGTTTGGCGACCCTGTCCTCCTGCCTGGACTTGGGGAGGGGCCGCCGATTTGGCCCAGGCCTAATAGCAAGTGGGCAGACGGGATTGGATGCTATCCATCCCTTCTACACAGCCAGGCCTTAGGCGCCCCGGGTTCCTTAGCTGCTCCAACCTCCCCACACATAGACACACACAACTCTGCCCTGTGGTCGCTCAGCCTCGTGAATCCTCTCTGCCCGCACTTGCTTCCCGCTTCAGTGAGGCAGCTGAGGCCAGGGGCAGGGAGGCCAGGGGCAGGAAGCCCAGGGACAGCACCAGACAGGGTGCCGGCTCTCCAGCCCACCCAGGGGAGGCCCAGGCTGCCCAAACCCGCCCAGGGGCACGCTCGCTGCCACCAGGTGGCGGGAATGAGCCCCGCTGGCTAAGGCCAGGCCGGAGCGCCTGCTCCCAGGGCAGCTGACAGCCTTGCCAGTCAGACCCTTGCCAGGTGGGCCAGGGATCCGGGCTTCCTCTTCCCACCCGGCCTCTTCCGATGTGCACAGGGCCCTCTGCCCTCTCTCTGGGCCTCAGCTTAGTGACCTGACGCCTGGACTTTTGAAGGATCTATCGATGGGGCTGCTCTGAGCCCTTTCCTAAGGGGCTTCCCCACTACAGCCTCCTGACCCCGCCCCGCCCGGCCTGGCCCCTTTCCTCTGGGAGTCCCCATCTCATCGTGGATATCTGGGGCGCTCTTGCCGCCCCACCTGCCCCTGGGAGTTGAGGCTCCTCTCGGGCTCCCTCTGCTTCTTGGAGGTGATCAGAACAGGCCAGGGCTGGAAAGACACCCCAGAGACACCCCAGAGGGTCCAAACTGACTGCTGTCCCCCTGCCCCCACCCAGGCGGGGCCTGCCTGGGGAAATCCTGTGGCCGGAAGAGGAAGTGAGCTTCCGGGGGACCCCTGACTCTCGACCTCATCTACGTTGGTGCTACTGCTTGGTGGAGAATGTAGACCCTCTGAAACCCCACCCCACCCCACCCCCGCCCTGGAGGGGACGGCAGGCCGGCGGCCTTGGACACCCACAGACAGGACAAGGAAACAAGAGCGGGGTGGCCTCGGGCCCCAACGGGGGGCCCCTCTTTCAGACGCCACGGCTGGGTGGGCTGGGGCCCTCCC